TTGGTGATGTGATAAAATTCTTATGGTTCAATGGCATGTGAAAAACCCAGAATGTAAAATTATATATAAGATTTCTCAACACTCTTAAGACTAGCATGAAGCACACCAAAAAAATCTTTTTTTTTTTTAAATTGGGGAATTGGGGGATGGGAACAGCGCTGGGGAATTGGGGGAAGGGGAACAGACAAGTTACTGTCATTTTGTTCTTCAGTCTAGTTGTGGAGGACATCGCTTCACTGGCCCAAGTTGGCACCATCATTGCGCTCTTCCCGGGCGAGGCAGATCAGTCGCCGGCTTCTGGACGGCCGCTCACTGCGGCTGCTGGCCGCTCACGCTGGCTGCTGGCTACACACGGTAGCCCATGGCACCCCACTAGCAGGGGCTGCAGCCTATGCCGTCGCCAGCGACTCACGGCAGCCCAGCTCCAGGTTGAGCTGTTGTTCAGCATCTTAGCTGTGGAGGGCAGTGTCACTGGCCCTCATATGTGGGATCCGAACCGGGGCCCTCTGGTGTCCCAAGCCAGCTCTTAACCAATGTGCCACTCTGCCGGCCCACACCAAAAAAATCTTAACAAATGGTGTGTGAATTGGGAATGCTTTCAGCTCCAAGGAATTGAAAACCTGATTTATGGTGCCATAAGTACAGAGGGGTTTATTTTTCTCTTCATAAGTAGTCTGGAGGTCCGAGGGTCTGGTGTCAGCTGCTTGGTGATGTCAAGGCTGGTATCTCTGCTATTTTCTTTTCTTTATGATCACAAGATGGCTGCCCCAACTCCAAACATCATTTCCACATTTGAGGCAGGCAGGAAGAAGGGGAGTGGCACCGTGCCTGCAGTGTCTGTTCCTTTTATCAGGAACATCAAGAGCCTACCAAGATGCCCCAGCAGATTTCTGCTAAGGTCGCTTTGACCAGAACCATGTCCTGTGACTGCCCCCAGCTACAAGGACCCTGAGAAAGTGAGTATCTAACTTCCCCATCTCTAAAGTGGAAGTGGCAATGGGGAAAGGGTGGGGATATCTGATAGGTTAGTTAATAAGCAGTGTCTTCCACTGTGCTTATTTCTGGTTGGTGGGCTTGTGGATATTTTTACTTCTCTTCTTGACTCTTTTCTGTCTCATCCAATTTTTCTACAATGAGCATTTGTAATTTCTATAATTGAAAAAAATACAACAGATACTACTTTAAAAAATCCTTTGTGAGGTTGTGGGCTCCTGTCTCTGGAAGCATTTATACTGTCATCACTCAAAAATGTGCAGAAGAAACTGTTGAATTCTCTAGGAGCTGGATTGACCCATCGCCTATCTTCCCCAGCAGACCATGACCTTCCCCGCTCTCTCCCCAACCAGGGAATGGGTGGGTGGGGGAAATTTATCATTTGTTTCGCCCCTATTAGGCACTGTGCTAGTTCCTGGGCAAGTACCCCTGCATCTAATTGTTATAGCCATCTTCCTTTTACAGACAAGATGCAGAAAGCTTAAATAACTTAAGTGACACATCAAGTAAAGGAAAGCTGGACATCAGGTTATAGAACCAAGCTTCAATTTTGTATGTTCCATCATAAGCTCAGTAAAGATTCTGTTGAATAAATGTAGTTGATGAATCATTTGGATGTGTAATTAAAAAAACCCAAAACCATAAAAACAAAACAAAAAAACCCCTACAACCCTGACTTGGTAATTATTTCTTGTAGGGCATCTATGTTACCATTAATTTTAATTAGTGCGATTGAAAAATAACAGGTTACATACTTGCCTGTAAGAGAGGAAGCGTGTGCTCACTTGCCTGTATCTAAACGTCCTTGACTGATTGCTGGATTTATAACTAATATGACTCCAGTGAAAAGACAGCTGAGGATTGGTTTCCCATGGAGTCGTTAAAATTTTTCGTTATGAAAAAATTTCAAACATATACACTAAAGTAACAAGAATAGTAGTATGAGCCCCCAGGTACCCATCCCCCAGCTTCAAGAATCATCCCTATTTTGCCACCTTTTTCATTTATCTCTCTTCTTCCCATTCCCCCCACCCCCCAAACTAGAGTATTTTAAAGCAAACCCAAAGACGTATTTTACCATGAACCTTTCTGTGATTGGAATGAAAAGACTTTTGTGTAGCCCCATGTTTCTCTTGCTTTAGATCTGCTAGAACAGGAAGTGATGATGTACAAGTCAGCCGAAGGGCACGTGGATTTCTGGGAGGCCCAGGAGAGGAGAAGCACATTCCTCGCTGGCTGTGCAATCTGTTTTGCTCTCAACTCAGGGCACTTCTTGGCTGAAACTCCTCTGGCCTCAGGGTTGATTCTTTTCTCAAAGGCTGAAAATAAAATATCTGGCTTTCTCTAGCTAGAGACATCTGGGGAGCTTGCTTCTGAAACTATATTTGGCATGAAAATGTCACCCAAGTTGCTTGAAGTGATTTGGAAATTTTAAAGTATTGAAAGCATCAGACTAGAGCGGCAGCTGAGGCTGAGTGGGTAGAGGTTAATTGTTACACAGGCCCGTCACTTTGCATCAGGCTTCTTGCTCCCTATATTCTCCCTGTTTGCTGCTCTTAATTCTTTAGGCCAAGGATTGCACCCAGGGCTGGTATTTGAAAGGTGGCAGAACAGGTGTGGGGGAGGAGGGCTGGTGGTGTGATAAAGGGGCAATCCACTGGCTGGCTGTCCTTCCTTCAACCTGCACACCCTACCTGGCTCCCTGGAAGTCCAGCATGCCGGGAGATCCATGGAAGTTTCCTGGAGAATGCTGGAATCATGTGTTTGCTGCTGGGCTCCACCAGATCAGGGAGACAAAGTTCCTGACTTTCTGAGTCCCAGGCAGAGTACCAGGGATCAGGCTAGAACAACTGAGATGTTTGCCAGGATGAGCCAGTAGAAGAATAATACAATGAGCAAGTGGGAATTATAGCTAAGGAGGAAACGGGGGTGGGGGTGGGGCGGGGGGGTCCAGCAAGCAGGATGCTGGGAGTAGTCCAGGCCAGGGGCAGGTGTGGAGGCCACTGGGAACAGGTCAGGAAGGGGAGAATAAGGAAGGGCAGTGTTCAGGCTGTACAGTGTGAATGAGGTGAAGCTAGGGAGTCTGGCTTCATTAGATGATGGTGTGCTCCCGCCGGCTGCCCTGGGCTCAGGTAATACAGAATAGATGATGATGGAAGAGACCCCGTGGGAAGGTGGTTGACCTGTTTTGGTTCACATTTCTGACACCAAATGTGTGGCGTTTTCCATACCAACAACCAGCTTTCCAAATCTCCAGACGTCAACTAGGGGTCCTACCATTCAATTCAATTCTGACACAACTACCCAGAGGGAGTGTCAGATTCCACAGTTGAAGGGCTCAGTCCCACAAGACTGCCCTCACGTTAGATACCAGTCAAAAGTCCCAGGTTGCCACCTGTACTTCTGACCAACCAGCTATGAATTGAGGGTTCCCATGACTTCCTTCTCAGATTTGATAATTTGCCAACACAGTTCACAAAACTCAGGGAAACATTTTCCTTCCATTTACTGGCTTATTATGAAGATTATAATGGATACAAATGAACTGCCAAGTGAAGAGGTGCATAGGGCAAGGAATAGGAAGGCGTGATGCCTCCATGCTCTCTTCGGGTGCACACCCTCTCAGCACCTTGATGTGACCACAAACCTGGAAGCCCTACAAATCTCATCATTTAGGGGTTTTTATGGAGGTTTCATTACTTAAGCATTATTGATTAAATTATTGGCCATTGGTGATTAAGTCAATGTCCAGCCCTTTTCCCCTCCGTGAATCAGAGTTCACAGCATTTCCAGCCCCATGATGCACTGCTTCTGAGCTTCTTCTTAGCATGCGAACTCACTCCCCACCAACAGGGGGCGCTCAGACCATGCTCCATCAGGGCCAACAGGAGGGCTAAATGCTTCTCAGGGAGGCACTCATGACAAATTGCTCTGTACCAGCACCCCCCACCCAACACAGCCTCCTCCCATGGAGAAAATTTTACCCTTCTGGACAATGAGGCCAACAAGCCACCTTCGTTTACCCATCAACTCACTGATTTTCTTGTTCATTACTTGGGCAATTCTCAAGTGTTTGTTGAGAACTTATGATTGGTTCACCTCTGGGCTTGCGGCTCCACGTACCCTCTGCATTGCTCAGGGGCAGCATGGCAGAGCAGAACGTTCTCTGAAGTAGGACCCAGGGACTCTCTTTCTTGTCCAGACTTTGCCGTTTACCATTCAGATTCTCAATTGCCCTTATCTGTAAAAATGGGGCCAGTGAAGCTGTCCCATTTGGTCTGATGAACACTGAGATGTGAGAATGCTTTGGAACCTTTTAAGTGTTGTGCCCCTGTAATTTATTATCATCATGATCTCTGCCTACCTCCCTGTGTTGGGGTGATGATAAAGTGAAGGAGAAGAGAAGGAGCTTTGTGAGAAGATGAAGTGCACATGTAAGCATATGGAAGGCTGCGGTTTTAAGGATAAAGTACATGGATACTGTGCTTTCCGATTTCTTTGAAATTGGTGACATTTCTCATTGACATATGAAACAAGCCAAGTCTCTTCTCTGAGGTGCCAAGTATGAGAGTGGGAGGGTGGGTGAGAATGGAACCTTTTTTCTTGAGAAAAGCAAAGCAAAGGAGAATTGAGCTCTGAAAGTAATCAAGATCTCCGTGGCAGCTGAAAGGGCCCTCGAAAATGATCTTTCAGCCTTCTTGTTTTATAGGTGGGAAATTGAGGCCCAGAGAAAGGAAAAGAATTGCCCAAGGTGTGTTTGCCTCCAAGACCTGCACAGTTCCCCCACACTCATTCCCAGCTCGGGCACAGTCAGGCTCCCGGGCCCCCCACCCCCTTCAATGAACACCTGTCCTGACTGCACCATGATCCCAGAACATGAACCACTGGGGGATATAAGTTACCCACCACGGCTTGATACATGAATAGGTGGTGAATGTAGGAGTGATTCATTTCATCCTGAAGTTCGGAAGTCATTTCAGAAATCAGAGGTGGGTTATCTTCCGGTGTTGAAAGTATATGAGTAGGTGATTTTTATTTTCTCCTTTATCATTTTCAGGGGTTTCCAAAATTTTACAACAAACATCTATAGCTTTATAAGCCCCCACCCCTACTGCAAATCTTATTTTTAAATAGAAGGAAATTGGAGGGTGGTGAAATGCCCAGCTCCTAATTGAGGCCCATCAAGCAAGGCCAGCCTGTATCTGACACACAAGGCAGAGGCCCTGAGCTGGGAGAAGTCCTGAAAGTCATCCAACTCTCATCCAAAGCCACCAAGGCCACCAAGGCAGTGTCACTGCACCTCCTCACCTTGGCTCTCACAATGCCCCACCCCTGAAATGTTCTCCTCCTATAACCATCGCCAAATCAAAATCATTTTTCATGCTCCAACACCAACTCTGCAAGTTCTGTGAAGGTGTTTCAAAGCCCACTTTCCCCAATTGGGACAAACATCTGTTGCTCTCCTCTGACCACTAGTGGCACCTTATTGGGACCTGTGTTATAATCCTTGTCATCTGCCTTGCCCTGGAGTCATTTGCACCCTGGTTTGACTCTCCCAATGGGCTGCGGCCTCCTCGAGGGTGGGACTGCATATTATTTATCTGTGTGCTCCCAATGCCATCCTCAGCCTGGCCCATGCTCGACTTCCAATGAATGTTTGTTGAACTTACATGAATGGATAATACAATATCCTGAGAGAGGGATGTTGTGATATACCAGTTTATGGTAGGGCTAACCAATCTCGGCACTATTGACATTTGGGTTGGATATTTCGTGGTGGGGAGCTGTGGTGTTTAGCAGGAACCCTGGCCTCTACCTACTAGATGCCAGGAGACACCGCCAGTTGTGATAACCCAAAATTTAGATTGCCAAATGTCCCATGGGGGACAAAATTGCCTGCTGTTGAGAACCACTGGTATATGGTTTATAAAGGGTTTTCATAAACAATCCCTACGAGTAGGAATTTGATAGATAAGAAAGAAAGGAGAGTGTAGAACCGAAACTGGGTCTTGTACCTGGGTCTCCCATTCCAAGTCCCGTGCTGATCCCACCATCCCGAGGGCTCTCGAGACCCCAGCAAGGTCTTTGCTGTTCCACTTTGGCATGTCCACTCCATCCCACCCCTGTGTCCCAAGTTCTACCCTGTCCCTTCCCCCCTGCCCTGCCTCCTGGGCCTGTGATCCACTGGTTGACCCTACTGGTCCATGCAGACTAGACCTCAGGCTGTGCCTAAACATGCCCATCACATCTGCAGCACCTTGGGCTCCTCCCCGTGCTTGAACACGCTGATAGTGACCTGGCCCGTCTCGGAGCCATACTTGTTCTTGACAAAGACTCCATAGCGCCCGCTGTCCTCACTGTTGACCTTGTCGATGGTGATAGTGACCTCTGACCCCCTCACCTCCATGTGATAGCGGTCAAGGAAGGTGACAGGCTGGTCATTCTTCAGCCAGAAGATTTCAGGGGTGGGGTCTCCTGAGATGATGCAGGTGAGGCACAGGGACTGAAAGGGTAAGAACGGAATGCTGGGTTACTTCCTTGTAATAACATTGGAATTCACCTTTACTCCCCCAGAAAGCTCCCTGCACAAGCTGCTCCTTGTGATAAATTCATTACATGTGTTTTATCATATCCCATGAAGCAATAATATTAAAGGGAGAGACATTTTACTTTAACTCCACATCCTCTATCCCCAGCTTTTCTACAGGAATACTTACTTGTTAGGATTTCAGGCTATTATTATTCCAGCAATTACATACCCTAGAATGGCTTGAACTTTGCTTAATTGCTTTTTGTTGTATACATATCATTATGATCTTACCATGCACATAAAGCTATATTGCTTTAATATAAAGATTTATGAATTGAGTTTGAAAATTCTTGAATGAGCTCTAACTCAGAGCCCTATAGTGTCATGGTCAAACACTCAGAGCCTAGAGCTGGGCTGCCTCAGCTCTACCCCTTCAAGCTGTGTGACCTTAGGTACATCCTTTAACCTCTCTGGGCCTCAGCTTCCTCAGCTATAAAGTGTGACTAGTAATAAACCCCCATTTCATGTGGCCTTGATGGTTAAACAAGCTAAAATAGGTACTACACATGGCATAGTGCCTGGCACAAAGTAAGCACCATAAAATGTTAGATATCATTTTCTAGAATATTTAACTTGCATAATTTCCACCGTGGAAGGGCTTTTAGAGATCATCTAGTTGAACTACTGAAGCTCGCAGACAGAAGTCTGTGACACCCAGGGCCACCTAGAGAGATGGGGCAGTGAGATGGGGGGTGCTGGGGTGAGCACCCCCATGGGCCTGACACCGGGCTCTGGGTCTTTCCTTTATATTACATGTGACCAATCAGGTGTGGTCATTCAGCCAGTATCTGGCGGATCCAGCCCCTTGGGCTCTGGCATCCATAGTGCTATCTTGTTTCATGATTTTTGATGGATATACAAGGGAACACAGCATGGGACTGCTGCTTGTGGGCTGGGCATGGGCAGTACCTTATCTTCCATGATTGTGGCCACGTCTGGCAGGCCCCTCACCACTTTGGCACGATCTGGAAGGGAAAAATGAGACCCCCAGTGATGATTGTTTTCCTGCAGGTTGCTTCCCAGAAGCACGTTGTCATAGAGTTGAGGCTTATTGTTAAGCAATGCTTCTTTTTTCTATTTTCATCCTTTTGGGGTGGAAATCTTTAAATGAGTATTACATGTTTCTTTGCCTTTATAAACAGGAAATAGGGGACAGAATGTGTTTCCACCATTGACTGGAGGTCATCGTCATGATTGGTGGTACCTGGATATGACAGTGAGATGTCCCTTCCCTTGAGAACTGGGAAAGAATGTAAATAAGGTTGCTCCAAGCCTTAACCTGGCAAAATGCACACAATAGGTGTGCTGAACCAGCTAAGGGAGTAAACCAAGAGAGGGGCCGGGAAAAGTGGGACAGACACTTTTGGGACACTGATTTTGGTCAAGGAGGGGACCTGGTGGGCACAGGCAGGAAGAGAATCTGGTTGTAAATCACAGAAAGTCAATATATTCCTTATGCTGCAATTGAGGCTGTGGGAACAGATGGGGTGGGTGGCACAGACCCTAGAGCATGGATCACGGAAGTGCAAAGAGCCCGAATTGGCTGGTGTCTGTCCAGTGGATGTAAGGGGAGCAGGACCCTGAATTGGGGTGGCGGGGACGAGGTCCCTGAGAGGAACACTGTTGAATGTTCACCAGACTCTCCCTCACAGCTGGGTGAAATGTTCCCCTTTCATTGACTCTTGATTCCGCAACCATATATGATGAATTCAGCTTCCCTCTATTGGAGTCCTGGACAGGTGTCCTGTCTGGGGATATGCGTTCCAGGATGAGATGGGGTGTTCTTGCTGGTCAAGTGATTAGATTGGTGGTGTGACGGGTTTGAGAGCCTCCAGAATCATGTCAGCTCTTCTCCTGGCAAGATGTGGGCTGAGGGGGGCCTCTGGGCAGCACCCTTCCCACCAAGGTGGTCGCCCCCCTGTAAGGACTCCTCACTGCATGGCCTCTTAGACCCCCATTGCCCCTTCCAATTATATTTATGAACGCTGAGGCCGGCACTGCCTGCCAAGTGGAAACACTCAGGGACAATGACGCCATGCAGGGTGAACCCCCCCCACAGATGATCCCAAGCTAGCAGTCAGTGTTGCAGCTCTCTCTTCTGTCTCTCACAGCCGTTCAGTTTCCTTCCTTGTTGTCACAGTGTCGGGGGCTGCTTTGCTCTGCCGCCAGCCGTCTTTCCCTCATTGAAATGCCTACTTCTGATCAGCGGGGTCAGGGGAACCAGAAAGTTAGTCTCCTAGAACTGGGTGGCTTAGAGCTGGCTGGGGGAGACCTGATGACACTCGAGTGCATGGACGTGGTGGTGGCATCGGGGCTGCTCAGAGACTGTGCCACGTCCCTCTGGGGTTGGGGTTGGGTCCTCCATTCGGTGAGGCCCCAGTGCCCCAACAGCCAGAACCAGCTTCAGGTTTAAAGTCGTCTCCTCCCCTCATCTCACTCCCAAAGGCCAGCGCAGCCTCGTTCTTGTCTGTCCCCGGACTGTTGGGTCCTACTCACGGTCGCACCTAACATTGCCTATGGGCCTGCTCGGCGCCAGGCCTGTGCCGGGCGCTTCCACACTCACGGTCTCTGGTACCCGCGCTCTCCTTATCCATTTGTCTTCACACTGTCACTGCCCAGGTCTCCCTGGCAGCTCTGTGACAGCCCAGAGCCACACAGACCCCACGGGGAGCTGGGACTTCAGCAGCCTGCCAGGAGGCATCAGCTTTCTGGAAGCCGCCCCAAACCCAGAAACGAAAACAACAGGAATATTGGGGGACTTACTCTTCTCGATGATGGCCAAGGCTCTGAAACACAGAAATGAGAAAAAGGCTCGTGGTTCCATTTGTTAAAGGACAGTCCTGCCCGGGGGTGGGGTGTGGGGAGTGGGGGGGAGGTGAGGGGATAACGAGGGACAGGAAGAGCTGGCCGGGGCTCCCAGGAAGGGGTCCTGTGCACGGTTCATGCCACACCCAAGAGGCCTATGATTCGCACTGAGAAACACAGAGGATGCTTACTTCAGTCTCTGGTGCTCAGCCATGGCGTCGTCAAAAGCTGTGGGAAGGAAATAGGGGGAGGGAAGAGGATTGTCAGGGCCTCGGCCCCCATGACCCGCAGGTACAGGGCTTGGTGCTGACTGTTCCTCTCTCTCAAGTCCCTCCTGTTCCAGTATTCTCTTGGGGGCGATGCCGGGATTGGGTGGGGAGATGGGAGTCCGCCCGAAAGACCATGGGGCTTTCGAAACAGGTTTCTCTAAGGACAGACAGACGGACAGCTCACCTTGCCCGGAGAGATCGGCTGAGAGCTGCCGGACTTCCTTCCCGGCAGCTATCTCCAGGGTGTACCGGCCCTTGTCTGAGTCTTTGGGATCCAAGATGTGGAGCCAGATCTCATCCAGGGTGGTGCCAGCCCTCACTCGATCACTGCTCTCCAGGCGTTTCTCTCTGAATATGAGAGTAAATAAATGGCTGAGTAGGCTCAGCCCATCAGTGCTGCCCCAACAGGCTGTCTGTCTGCAGGTCTATAGGTGTCCCCTGCCCCAAACTCCTCTCCTAGGGTTTTGTTTCCAGACTTGTGGGCTAAAGGTGGGGGCCATCCATGAGACATTCCATAAATATCCATCCACTCATCCATTCATCATTTATCCATCCAACATTCCTCATCTATCCAGCCATTCATTCATCAAATCCTGTGGCTCATCAACTATGTGCCAGCCCCTTGGGACTGAGTCTGTATTTGCGACATGTCCTGCAGGCTGGGGCTCTGAGGAAACGGTGTTCCAGGGTCAGTGACCATCAGTCACTTCCTTACCTCTTCATTCTCCCCATCTTAAACCTTTCCAGAGTTTCTTTCCATAATCGCTCTTCCTTAGCCCTCAGAGATCATAGAAACTTCTTTTTTTTTTTACTTAAAGTTCATTCCTGGAGATACCTGGTCCATGTCCCTAGTGTTGTGCTACAGAACTGATACATATAGGCTTAGTCACGGGGCTCAGACACTCTAGAGAAGGAGCCCCAATTGTCCTGGAATTCAACTTGGCTGTGTTCTCGCTCATTTGACAAACTCAACCAGGTAAGCCTAGCCTTCTCCACAGAATGGGTGCGGCAATGCCTGCTCCACAAGGCTGAAGTGTGCAAATGACAAGAAGCACCGGGAAAACTCTGCTCTCAAACTATTTGGGGTCACTTAGTTCCTGGCCGAGTCTCCTTGGATACCTTACCTATCCTGACTCTTAGTTAGTTGCCAGCCCCACAGGTGCCTCTGCCTGCACCTCGTCCCTCAGCCTGGCTGCCTGAGTTTGCTAAGCCTTCTGAGACCCACAAGGTACCGTGACCCACCTGACTGTCTGGTTCTTCCTTGTTCCTGTACCCTTGCCTCCCCCAGTTCCAGATGCTTTTCTAAGACAGTGGTCCTTCTGTGGTCATGGGTATTCTGGAAAAATGGCCCTACCACTCAGGTGTCCACCTTCCCCGGGGTAGCTCCCTGTTTCCCCCCCTATTCCCGACTCCCTCTGTGGACAATAGGGCCAGTGGGAGACCCTGTCTGCCGACCTCTTGGGACCGAGCTGGGGCGGGTGCTGGGCCCCCTCCAGCCTGGCTAGGGCTCCAGGACAAGGCCTTCTTACTTGTGGAACCAGGTGGTTTTCATGTACTCCACATTGTAGTACTTGACCTTGCTGAAGATCCGGATGCCCTCTTCAGTCCCTTGGATTTTCAATGGGGTCGCAGAGAGGGCTGGGAGGCAGAGGAGAAGAGTGGGTCTCCCCTAAGATCCTCTGGGTGGCACATTTTTGGGCCCACCAGCTCACCCCTGCTCTTGGGGTGCAGTGTGGGGGAGGCAGGAACTTCTTCCCCAGTATTTGAGGTTGGAAACTACACCCACCCCTGGGAGCCAAGGCTGGTTGGAGGTCCCCTGGAGGCGATTTGGTGGTGGGGCAGGGTTGGGCAAACGGAGGGGCTTGCTTACCGCCAATCTTGCCCAGCTCATTGAAGACGGCATCCAGGGCTGGAGGGAGACAGACAGAATGGTCAGCGAATGTAAGGCCCCCTTACGGACTCACCAGGATGGGAATGTCCTTAGAAAATGTGGTGAAGTTCATGGGCAGCTCCTGGGGCATTGGGAGCTCTGCAGGACAAGTCCTATGGCTTGGGGGCAGCAGGGGTCTGGGGCACTCAGTGATTGTGGGGCAGGGGGCACCATGGGTGGAGGACAAATGCGCCGACCTGATCATATTCTTGCTGGCTGAGCCAACCAGCTGGATGAAAAGCCAGGGACCCACTGTGGGGCAGAAGCGTGAACTTGGGCTTCGGGTCTTAAAGCCTAGGCTCACTGTGGTATGTTGCAGTGAACATGGACATCAGTGTCACACAAACGAGCCCCCTCCCACTGACTAATTGTGCAGCGTTGGGCTGCACTTAACCTCTCTGTGCCTTAGTTGCCTCAAGTGACATGGGATCCCATCCATTTTACCCCACAGGTCATATCACAGTCTCTTGGTTCAGGGTGATCTCCCTGCGACCCTCCTGGACCGTCTCCAACATTGTCAGCTCCTACCTTCTCCTGTGAGGTCCAGTATGGTGTCATCCAACCCACGGTCATCAGAAACCACTGCTCTATAAGTTCCCATGTCCTCTTTGGACAGCTGGAAAGAAGGACGAGTGAAGGTGTTGTCAGCATGGGCTCCAGAAGGAGCAAAGGACAGCAGGTCAGCCTGGGCTCTAGGCCAGCCCTAGTTCTCTGTGTGATATCAGGCTAGACCCTTCTCCTCCCTGGGCCTCAGTTTACCCATCTGGAATGGGTGAGCTGTAAGGCTCCTTCCAGCTCCAGCGCCTTCTGATTCCAGCTCAGGGCTTATCTGGATCTGGGCATGTGGTGCGGTGGGGGAGTTGAGGACAGAGACAGACACCCCACATTTGGATTCCCAGGCAGCTTCTCCGAGCGGAGAACAGTGATCCCTCCTTGTGGAGCTTGTCTGGGCACAGCACACCCTCCACCTGGGCTACCCTGCTCCCTTGGGGCCCCTGAAAGGAGGAACCCTTCTGCACTTCTCCAAAAGGATGTGTGTTCTTTTGCCCAGGACAAGGGGGTCCTCTCTGGCACGTGCTTGTCAACCCCAAAATGAAGCCTGAATAAATACTCAATAAAGCAATAACTTGGGTTACACCTTTAAAGCAAGGTCCAGAGGTCAGAAGTGACCTCTCATTACAAAGCATCTCCTTCAGGAACTGGGGAGTGATATCTGCCTCCTTGTCCCCTCAAAGGGCCCCTCCCACCATACCATGTCTACAGTGTGCTTTGAGGCAGGATTCAAGGTAGAAGTAGCTCTTAAATGCGGATCGAAGGACTGGACCCCAAGAGTCCTCTCCTAGGTCCCTTCCCTCCTCCCCTAGTGAAGGTTCCAAAGTCCCAGCCACACCTCGGGGAGGGTGACTGGAGTGACATCTCTCCCCCACTCCCTAGCCTTGTGCCTTTGTACTTAAACCCTCTGAGTCTCAGTTTATTCATCTCAAATGGTAACATGATCCTTGCCCCAGCTATGCGCTATCACTGCTGTGATGATCAACCGTTGGAAGCCAGAAAGCTCTGCTCCAATGGGCCAGGGATTATAACAAGACTCAGTAGCTATTAAGCACCTACTTGATGCCATGCCCTGAGTGAGAAGCTTGCCCCATGATGACACAGGCCAACTTGACCTTGTCCTGGTCAGGATGTGGGAGAATACTCTGAAATCATCATTTCCTTCCTTGCCAGCAAGCCTGCATCTTTGCCCCAGTCCTCGTTGGCACCCAGTGAGGCCAGAGCAGTCAGCAGCAGGGCAGAAAAACTCTGAATGTTTGAGAACAAGCCTTGCGTTTCTGTCTTAACCAGGTCACACTCCTCAGAGGCCACAGGGAGGACGTGGGTGAGAGAACTGAGCTCCAGGCCCGCTTTGCTCCGCCCAGACCTGCCTCACACGGAGACAGCCTTCCGGTGTGAAATTCTAGACTGTCTGGGTCGGAAGGAAACTTCGAGAGAGCATTTCTATCTGCTCATGTTACAGATGAAAGCTGAGGTCAGAGAACAGTGACTAGCCTAAGGCCACACAGTCAGTGGCAGGGCCAGGACTGGAGTCGAAACGAAAGGAAAAATTGGTATTATTGATTCTGTCTTTAATATTTTGGTATTGTTTTCCCCAAGGTCTTTTTTTTGCATTAATTTTGATTTTTAAAAATATTGGATGAATTATCACTTATCTTGATTACTGAGTTTTTAGTGCCCTTGAATTTTGTACCCAAGGTGAGTGCCTCGCTTGTCTCACCTTAGTCCTGGCCCTGCTCTGGATCCCCACCCAGTGCTCCTGGCACTGCCCGGAGGGTGTGAGCCCTGAAGGAAGAGCTACGCTTACCTCTTCGATGCAGAAAAGCCCTGCTCCAGTCTGCGAGTCATACTGACCATCTGGTATCTCTTTCTTCTGGAAGAACCACTGGAAACATGTTTCCTTCTTTGTGTTGGTCACCTGAGAAAGGTGGAAAATGAGGCTCCACCAAGCTTTCTTTTTTAAAGTAAAAACTCAGCTCATCAGAACCTTTTCTTGCAAATGTGACTTCTTGTCCCCCCACCCTCCAGCCTCCTACAGATACACACTTGCACAATAAGTCTCAGCCAACTACTTCCTCAAACCATATGTCTCCTCTGCTGGCTTCAAGTCTGGACTTTTGCTAATGGGGTTCCCTCTGCCTCTTGAACCCTTCCCTACTCTATTTTCCCTTGTAACCATCTATGTGTCTTAAAGACTGGAGTTAGATGTCACCTCCTCCAGGAAGCCTTCCTTGAAGTACCCCAGAGTACCCTGCTTGGTGATTAATCAATTTCCTACATGTCTCGATCACAGCAGGAAGCACGCTGTTTTCTGATGATCCTGCTTCAACCTGTGGGCTCCTAGAGACCTAAGGAGACCATTTCCTCCTCATTGTATGCCCAGTGCCTTGCAGAGTGCCTGGTACATAGTAGGTGCTTTGAGTTTGCTGAATGAATATGCTTCTGGGGGAGCACCCTTCCCTCCCCTCTCCTCTCCCAGTTTCCTAAAGAGGCTGCAGGGTACTGAGAGGGAGCATCAGCTTTGGAGTCAGACTCTAGGCGCTACCTCTTGATCTTGACTTATTTCCCCATTTGTTTTCTCATCCATAAAGTGGGGATAATAATGCCTATCTCACAGATGCTTGTGAGGCAGATGAAACAAGATAATGCTCTAAAGCACTGAGCACAGTGTCTGGCATGACTGCCAATAGACACCAGGGAACTCCCTCAACATATAGACCCCTCACTTGCTCTCAGACCCCTGGCTCTACACCACTCCTTCCCAATGCAGCTTGGAGATCTTGCTCAAGGCTGCGCCAACTCACAATAATTCTGCGCCCTGAGGTCTGCAGAGGGGTGGCTTTATTTTCTCGTTAAACACAGTCTCCCTGAGGCTACTTCCCAGGTGTGGGATCAGCCAAGAACAGGGTATTGAATTTGGGGGAGTGGGGCAAGGACAGCCACCAGCTTGGGACAAGCCACAGATCTCGCCCCACTGGGTCTGGGGGCAGGGCTGGAGGCAGGGGTGGGGATTTGCCTTGCACGTCAGCAGCACTTGGCAGTCCTCCGTGACCTTCCACTGCAAGAGCTCCTCGAAATAGGGACCTGAGTGCAAAACAAACACGCCCAGCGGTCAGAGCGCCAGGCTCAGCCAAGGCGCCACCTGGTGGCGAGACAGGGTGCGTCAGCTGGGGTTAGGGCAGCCAGTGTTAGATTCTGTCCCCACCAGGGCGGGGACTCGAATGAGGCAAGGGAGGCATGTAGGGCGCAAAATTTAAGGAGGCGCTCACTCGCTGGTTGGGTAAATGCTGTTTCGCTCTGGCACAGGGGCGGAACTGGATTGAATTGCAGCGGCCCTCCCTCGGGAGCCCACCAGAGCCGCAGGATCTATTAACTCACGAGTCCAGCAGTTCCCCAGCACTGACCACTGGCCTGGTGGCCGAGGCTTTTGAATTTCACCCCAGCAGCTCTTACCCTGTTTCCTCTTCCAGTCTCTTCTCTTAGCATCCGCCTTCCTCAGAAGTTTGTCAAAATCTGTGAACACATAGGGAGGAGGGGCTAGCATGAGCCAAGAGGAGCGCAGGTCGAGAGAGGGGGCATCAGGTTGGTCAGAAGACCCTAGAGCCAAAAGCGGAGGCTGGGTGCATGCGGCAGGCAGGGCAGGGCTGACCGTCATCCACCAGCGCCAGGGTGATCTGGTTTTTGGCTTTCCCGTCTTGGAGCTGAGCAGTGTACGACCCTTTGTCCTCCTCAGCCAAGGTCTCGATGATCACTTCCACCAGGCCCTTCTCTCGTTCAAAATTGATTTTGCGGTTCTGGGGAGAACAAACCTGGAGAGTCATTTTTGCCCTTTTCCTATCCCAGGGAATTTGCATTGTGGGGCACAAATTGGGGTGCAGTTAGACTTGGGGGGTGATATGTGCAGAGTTAGAAGGCTTAAGAGATGGGGAGGGGCCCTATATTACCCTCTGCTTCTTATAGAGTGGGGCTCTCCCCACATCCTGCCCCCAGAACAACCCTGGGGCCCAGCAGGCACAGGAGCAATTTGGGGATGCTTGAATTAATTGCAATTAAGAATAAGCACCAACCCCCCACTGTGCCACATGGTTTTTTTTTTTTGCTAGTTTTTACAATCCTTCATAAAACTATAAAGGATAATGATATTCACAATACCTATGTACTTGCTACCCAGAATTAACACTTATTTATATTTTGTCATATTCAAACAGTTTTTAAAAGTTTTCTTTTCTAGACTTAGGACCTTAGTCCCTCTGGCCTCATTTACATGTATGATTTGAGGGAGCCATCTAGTTGTATTTTATTTTTCTATGGGGGCCACTGATGGTCTCAATGCTGTGTACCAAGAATCCAGACTTTGTAACACTTCCTGTACCATGTGCCAAGGTCATGTTTAACCTTTAAGCAGAACTTTCAAATCTATTTTCTCATTTACTGTTCCTCCTGATTCTGGGACAACCAGCCCCATTGTACAGATGCAGAAATGGAGGTTCAGAGAGGTGAAGGGACCTGCCTAAGGGCACACAACCCACAGGGAATAGATATCAGTCTTCTGACATCCAGCCCTGAGTTCTTTCTTCTCTGTCAGAACCAGCACCCATCTCTATAACACATAGTTTCTGATGCCGTTTTACCCTCTGGAGATGAAATTCACAAATACTATGATCTCATGATTAAATCTCTCACGAGATTGAATTTGTCATGTTTGTAAGTAAAAAAGTTGAACATGGGCAACTCATATGGTTCAACTAATACAACTTATGCACACACATCATTTAAAAAAGAATGGAATACCACAACTGTATAGGAAGAAGAAATAAGGTAATATGATTTTCATTATGCAGGTGTTCTGACATAATCTCACCCATGCTGCACTGATTTATAATGAATTGGTTTGAATTTAAGAGAAGAAAAGCAAAAAGATCAAAACTATTCTGTACAAGAACAGGAAAATGAATGAAAGCATAGGTGAAGCATCTACTAGAATAAAAACTCTCTGTTCAGTGTATATTAAAACTGTGCAAAAATTCTCTGTATATCTCAGAGTTAGGGTCTAGGCTTGGATAACTATAAGCATGAATGTGGGTTTTTCATCTGAAGAATGTCTGGCAGTATATTAAAAAGTTGTAGGGGGTATGGGAAATTCTTTGGTTGTGGGATCCTCTCTCTCATTGGCGAGCATCTAGCGTCCCTGCCACCTATCCCCCCAGGTCCTTAGACGCGATCACTGTGACAGCCAAAGCATGTGGTCAGTTCTGAAATGTCCGCTAGGGGGAGCTGCCAGCCTATGCGGAACCACTGTCGGGGGAGGCTGAGGGCGGGGCAGGGAACCTCACTTAGGAATCTTGAGTCCCAGTTACCGGTGAGCTGAAGATCTCCTTGTCGTTGAAGATGAGATGCAGCTCAGCGGCAGGAGATAACTTTTCCACTTCCAGCCAAAGCCGCACCTCTCCTCGATCGAGGATGTCAACGTTCCAGCCGGAGATCAGCTTGATCACTGGGAAGAAGAGGATGGAAAGGGGTGGGTGGGGCACCTTTCTCCCCACCACACTCTCCAACCAGCCCCACCTTGAGGACGCCATTGGCATTTACGTGCAAAGTGCTTGAGAGTTTGAAGGAGACACGACTGGGGTGGGGATGGGGGTGGGGGTCTGAGGACGGTTTTGGCATGCTCACTCTAGAGTCAATTTATTTTAGGGTGCTTCTCATCCTGGCTGGGTACCGGATCCCCAAGGACATTCAAAACCACGCATGTCCAGGCTCAGACATTCTGATCCATCTGGGGCGTGGCCTGGGCATTGGGATTTTGAAAAGGTCTTGGGGTGATTCTAATGTGCACCTCAGTTTGTGAGCCCTGCTCCAGGGGCTGCCCCATTACTGGCCAACACAGGGAAGCAGAGGTTTCGATGATCCAAAGTCCAAGAAGAGGAAACCATCCACGCTGCCCTCCCTTGCACCCCCTTTCACCCTGCTGGCTGCCTTTTTCCCTTTCACAGGACCGCTGACTTCCTGGGTCTCAGGCCCTCCATCCTCTATACCCTCACCCTGCACCCCAGCTAGTTTTTGGCTCTCACTGACTCCTCAGCTCTGCTCCAAGACACCCCAATGGGCCCCGGCGGGGGCTGCGCAAGGTGGTTGGCTTGGAATGCTTACCTGGGTTTCTGACCTCATGGCTTAACTTCTTCAGCTTGTCCAGCTCTGAGGCAGGGAGGAGCAAAGAAGAAACCAAAGAGAATGAAATACTGGGTCCAGTGGGATCCATAGAAACCATCCTAGGGTCCATGCTGGGTGAAAGTCCTGAGAGTCACCCCTTTCATCCTGGGGTCACTTGAAACATAGGGGTTGATGAACACTGTGGGTGGTGTGTGTGTGTGGGGTTGCTGTAAGCCTCCTTGAGATCAAGTGCCACCTCCCCAGAGAAGTGCCTACTATGTGCCAGGCGCTGCATTATCTCACTAGTCCTCACACAATGTTGTGGGTGTGGGCATTACTGTCCACCTCCGAACACTCCAGGCACACCAGCTCCCGAGGCCTATTCTTGACCCACTGCACGTAATACGCTGTCCTAGTCTGTGAGGGTCTGGCTCCTCTACTAAGCACTTCAGTCTAGAAGTCTCTAGGGCAGTTCTGCAGTATGCTGCCTCATTTGCTATCTGCCTCTTTATGTTAGGTTTGTCTCTCCTGCTAAGCTGAGCTCTGTGCCTCCCTGAGTGTCTGGCATGTAGTAGGTGCTCAATAAATATGTGTTACATGGATGTATTGGCAGGGGCAGAGCCCATACTAATTTTCCCTTGTGAGCTCCAGAAGCCTTAGCATGATGAGTCTGGACCCATGGCAAGAATCCAGTCAAAACAAAACAAAACAAACAATAACCATCCCTTTTGTTGATGGCTTTAGTTTGCATAGAATCATCTAAACGTATCTACATAACATTGTTTCCGTTGGGGCAGCCAGGGATTATCACCCCTTTTTACAGATGAAGAAACTGAGGCCCAGAGAGGTGACATGACTTGCTCACGGTCAAACAGCCAGAAAATTGTGGAATTGGGTTTGCCTGGCTTCTGCTTTTTAACAAAATCAAAGGGCCTCATATGCAGTCAGCAGGGAAGACAACGGGCTGTCCCTCAGTTGTCATGGAGACAGCAGAGAGTGAGTCTTGTCAGTCATAAGTACTGATTTCAGTTCTGTTTAAATCATCAAACATGGAGGACCCTTCAGACACAGCATCTACTCTCTGGTTTGTTATAGTCCCCTTTGTTCCCTGTTGACATCCTCATTCCTCAGACCAACTTTTTTGTTCTTGTTTTTGTTTTTGTTTTAGGCTTCAGGTGGAAGTGAAATAATTCTGGTACCTTTGTTTTTATCCAAAGCAGAAAAAGAAAAGAGAGACAAGAAGAATGTGAACTCTACCAGGGAGGGATTTTTGCCTGTTGAGTTCACGGATGTAATTCCCAATATATGGCAGGTGCTCACTAGATATTTATTGATTAATTAGCTGACTGAATGGGTGGGTGAGGGCCTACTCCTCTGGAAATCGTTGCTTTACTCATTTTTGTTCTTCTTGCCTGCCTCTGGGGACATTTGTGTTTGGGGCTCTCCACCCGGGCCTGTGTGTCTTGGGGAGGTGGCAGTGAAGCAGGGGCATTACCTTCCTCGGTCAGCGTGTGGCTCGCTGAGATGTCTTCATCCGCATCGGTGACCACCACTGAGTAGGTGCCCAAATCCTCGAGACCAGGTTCTTTCAGGATGACCTTGGACCTGGCAGAGGGAGGGGAGCAGAGGCTCTGAGAGGGGGCCTTGTGCCCCTCTGGAGGCCTGGGAGCTAGAAAGCCCCTGTCAACTCTGGCCTGGAACCTTCAACGGCCCCTGTTAGCAGGCTCTCTGGCATAAGTTCTTCTTACTGGCCGCACTGCCCTGTCTTGCCCTCCAGGGCTTAAGTCATCAACTTTATTTCCTGCTGGACAGGGCCAAGGCCATGAGCTGCTGAGGGTGGAGAGGAAGACTTGGGGGCATTTGATAGGGACCCTGGTGGTCATCTGGCACCAACCCCTTTTTTGACCTATGAGGATGCTGAGCCCAGACAAGTTGCAACACGAGTCACTGGCACCCAGGCTAGAAACTAAGTGCTGAGTGACTTCCCGAAAGCACCCAGCAGGGGCACATTCATTCCTTACAGAAAAAGAATCTCCAAATGAACGCTGCCATTTCAGCCCCTCAAATGCACCACCGTCTCCTCATTTCTCCTTAAGGGGGAAGTCAGCATTCTTAGTGAGAGACCAAGGAGCCACTCTCAAGCCCATTCATTGTCTGTGGGTCCTGCTGGGTGGTCTCCCCCACGAGCTTCTGCCGACTCATCTGACACTTGGGACCTGTGGACCAGCTGTGCCACCCCCTCTCCCCTTACTTACTTGTTAACTTCCTCCTTGATCCTGACCCTCTGGGGGTCCAGCGGGCCCTTGTAGTCCTTGGACCACTGAAACTCTGAGGAGTCAGGGGCCTCAGGGGCTTCGAAAGCCAAGTAGATAAAGCCGTCTTCATCCACACCAACCTGGATCTCCGGGGCATCTGAGGGCAGGATCCAACAGAGGGCGCCGGACTTGTATAAACAATAAACCAGGTCATGCCCCTCCCCTGCTTAAACCCTCCAGGGTCTGCCTGTTGCGCTTGAATAAAATAGTAACTCAGACTCCTTGCTGTGGCCTCCAACGCCTTGCATGATCTGGCTTCTTCTCGGCTCACATATTTCCTCCTCAGAGTGGCCCTTCCTGACCACCCTGGCTAAAGTAACCCCCACCCCACCATATCACCCTGTTTCATTTCTTTTATAGTACTTATCACCGTCTTCTTCATGTAACCGGTTACTTGTTTACTGTCCATCTGTCCTGCCCCTCCCCCACACTAGAGCAGGGGCCTTGCTTTCCATCACTGCTGTATCCCCAGTGCGACGTGGGCGTCACCAAATATTTGTTGAATGAATAAACAATGAAAAGAATGGAAAGAGAACATGTTTTATAGTTGGGAGAGCTGAGTGATTCTGTCAAGTGCTAGCTGTGTGACCTGACCGTTGAACCTCTCCGAGCTACAATAATATCGATTCTAAAGTGGGGACAATGATGGCACCTTCAGGGCCTTGTTGGGAGGGCCAGGGCAGTGTAAAGACCTAGCGTTGGAAGAAGTGTGGAGTGGCAGTAGGGGGGAGTGCCCAGCAGATCCACATGCTCTACCCGACCCCCCTCTGAGCTCCGCCTCTCCTGGGTGGCACAGCTCAGCGGTGGTGTGGGCACCCTCTACCTGCTCCTACCTGGCTTGTCCTCCAGGAGTATGGGGTCAGTGGGCATGGACGGTTGCCCCAGACCAGCTGAATTCACGGCCTGCACCTGGAACACATAGCTCTTCCCCGGCTGCAAGTCCGAAATCTGGAGGTGGCAGGGGGGCGGGGAGGCAGGAGTGAGCATGGAGGATAGCAAAGCCCATCCTTCCCAAAACCCTGGCCGTGGGGATCTGGGAACCAGTCATTTGTGGAACGCCAGAAGGGTCCAGGCTGCCCTGGGGGTGGGGATGGGCCAGGAGTACATTGCTCTCCCGAGTTCCAGTTTTTAGTGGGTCTCCCCTTTGGGAGACCCATGCCCGTGGCCCCTGGACCTCTACCTGCTCAGAGCTTAACTCATCATCTGACTTCCAACAAGAAAACTCTCTCCCTTCCTGCACCCCTCTCTCTCCTCCACCCACCACCCCAGAGAGAAACCTGGGAATCATCTTCGACACCTTTTTCGTGGGCCCTACAATGTCCAATCACCAAGTTCCCCTTTTATTTCCCTAACGCTTCTTGAATGTGGCGGGTCCCCTCCATGGCCCTGCCACAGCCTCCACTGAAGCTTTATTCTTCTCACCTGGATTAGTCAACAGTTTCCTAAGTGGCAGCTCTGCTTCTAGACCCTTTTTCCTGGTTTATCTTTCCCTCTGCCAATCTTCCCAAGACGCCAGTCTGATTATGCTTAACTCTTTCAGTGGCCTTCAGGGTAAAGCTCAGATTCCAAGGTTTAGTACCTGAAGTCCTCCTAACCTGGTCTTAGCCTCTGTCTTCTTCCTCCTCTTTCTGCCCTCTTACTCCATGACTCTGTCAGGGTCCCCACATTCATCATGTCATGTCACATCTTCCTGCCTTTGTCCCTGCTGAGTCCTCTGCCTGGAACACCCTCCCCTCTTTCTCGCTCTAGCCAACTCCAACCCATCCCTGACCACCTTGCTCAGGCAGACGCGAGGATACCAGGAAGGGTCTCTGACCTTCCTCCTTGGAGTTCCCAGAATCCCTCAGACTCCCCTTGATTGTGTAATACACAGCATTGTTATTGCCTGTTACCCAAGGACTGTTATGCCTGGGACCTGGTTCCAGACCCGGCACTAAGTAAAGTGTCAAGAAGTATTTAGTAAATGACTGAGGGAGTGAATGCCAGCCAACCATCCATAGGCAGAAGTGGTGCCAAGTCACCAAGGCCCGCCTCGCCCTGGCCTGGGCCAACCTATGTGGGGAGGCGGACAGGCCACCCATCTCGAGTGGCTCTCCTGAACCAGCTGTCCAGCACTGGCCGACTCTACTGCAGGGAGCCTGACCCTGTGGAGGCGGAAACTGCCATTCCACTGGCCAAGGCTTGTCCTCTCTGATTCTGTCTTAGGTGGTTTCATATTATTTTTTCAAATGAAAGTATTTTTATTTTTTTCTGACTTTAAAAGAAATACATGCTTGTTGGTGAAAATATAAAAGCAATAGCGACTATAAAATGAAAGGTTAAAGCTCCCCTGGCAGTCCCACCCCCAAAGATGACCAAAATTAACAATTTTGTAAAAAAATCCATTTACTTTTAAAGGCACATAATCCATGTAGAAACATGACATGCGCTGTATTCTGTTTGTTAGCTTCTTCTTCTTTCCACAATGTTTTGGGCTGCTTGAGGCAGCCTTCTTTTCCCTTGGTGCCAATTAAAGGAGTGCTCATGTGTGGTCTTGAAAACCCCACACCCTCCTGTCTGCCGGTGAAAGACACCCCAGGAAAATGAGTTGGAGGAAATATTGTCTCTTACCCTAGACTGCAGAAAATATAATCTAACCCATATCTAATCCATATCATGGGAATGTTCCTTAAACAGAGGAGGCCTGTGACCCACACTGGCTTCAGAGATGGATGTTACAGCCTGTGAAAGTGGCCTGGTGACTGGAAGTCTGTGATTCTCATTGATTGTCCAAGTTGGTCATTTGTGCTCTGTCTGCTAAGAACACTTCAATCGGCACCTTTGTTTTCTGGCATGTAAATACATCTGTCTTTCTCATGCCAGGGGAGGGTTGTTTGTGCTTTCTTTTCTCCTGCATGTGTGGAAGTTAAAACCACCACCACCACCCCATTGAATAAAACCAATGACTCTGCCAGGTTTCTTATTTATCTGAAGAGTCTAGAGTTTGTTTCTCATTTAAATTAAGAAACATATATATGATGGATATATTTTCACATCAATACAATCCTGTAGGCCTACCTCATTCATTATACGATTGCTACTTCTTAAACCAGCATAGTCATTATACTACATGGCAGAGAATTCCACTTTAAGGGTACATTATGGCTTATTTGAGCAACCCCCCTGCTGATGGACATTTAAGTTGTTTCCAAGTTTTGCCCTTATAAACAATGCAAGAATGAGCATCATTGTCCTTTGATCTTTGCATACTTGTTTAATTATTTCTCTATAATTCAATCCTTGAAGCAGAATTCCTGGCTCAAGGGATAAGCATATCTAAATGCTGATATACAATTATAAGTGAGTTTTTAGGAAGGAGTCTGCCCAGAGTGGAACAGGTTAAGTCTACAGCCAGCCAGACCTAGTACTAACTCGCTGTGTGACCCTGGGTAAGCCACTTTCCCTCTCTGGTCGTCTGCTGCCATTAAGTGAGGGCAGTGATCCCTGAGAGTTGTTTCAGCTCTGATGCTCTATAGTTCTGCCATGTCCAGTGGCAGGGCAGGCTCAGGGTGGGTCAGAGGGTGAAGGGGGCAGGAACTCACCCTCAGGTGGGTGCCAGAGACAGGGCCTGGGGTGACTGGCTCCCACTGCTCAGAGCCTTCCTCCCGGAAACTGATGAGGTAGCCTGTGACTGGCCCAGCTCCTGTATACAGTGGGAGCTCCCACTTCAGCATCAGGGAGGTGGCCCGCACCTCGAATGCCTGCACGTCATATGGGGGACCTGTAGGAGATGGCGTAGAGAAGGAGTTGGGCAGCCAGGCAACCAGCCAGACAACGCGATGGCCAGTCAGACAGCCAGGTATCCAGCTGGGTGGTTAGTCAGCAAGCTTGTCAATCTGTCAGTCACACCAGGCCTGGAAGTGCCTGCTCTGGGCATAGTGGGGACCTGGCCAGCCTCGGCATCGTGACCAAGCTTGATCTGGGGCTGAAATTGGGTTAGCTGAGCATCACTTCTCCCCGAAGCATCCCCGGTCCTCCCATCCCAATCCCAGACAGCATTAACCCTTCTAACGTCTTTGTCGTTTCAGTATTTAGTGTAGGGGCTACGGGTGTGACCTCCAGAGTCAGAGCACCAGGCCTTGTGTCCCAGTTTCACCCTTTCAGGCTATGGGGACTCTGGGCAAGTCCCTTAGCCTCTGTGATCCTGTCTCCTCCTCTGTAAAATGAGGATAATAATAGTGCTCATAACATAGCGCTGTTGTGAGCATTCATGACATAATTTATGGAAAGTGTCAGTACATAGTAAGTACCCAGTAAATTTAGTCATTTATAATTGCTGTCTACAGACACACATACTAATTATCTGCCATTCAAGTAAAGGTTTTGTGTAGAACGGAACTGAGCTGAACAGAATGATGGAAGGTCATGATCCTTCCTTCCTGGGGGGGAGGTGAAGGGCTTGTTTGTGAGAAAGCGAACAGGGCTGTGGGGATGGTGTGTGGGGTGACTAGCCCTCTCTGTTTGCCCAGGAATTGGGGTGTGGGACTTTCAGTGGCAAAAGCAGGAAAGTCCCGGGCAAACTGGGATATGAGATTGGTCTGTGGCCACAATCAGAGCTCAGATGATGTGTCAAGATAGAGGATAGTTTGTGCTGGGGGAACAGGGCCAGTTGATGGCCAAGGTCAAGGGTCCTCTTAGGCAGAGATTACAAGGTCAGTTGGTGGAATGGGCCAGGGGTCTGGTGTCTGGGACCAACAGATCAAACATGAATGCACAGAGAGCTTGGTGACATTCATCTCATTGGTTAGATTTGGGGAGGCGGGTGTGCTGAGGTCCAGCCCCTTGCAGCCTCTCACCTGGTTGTGGCATCGTCCACTCTTTGCACTCAAACAGGCTGCTGGGTGCTGATAGCTCGCCAACACCTGCCCAGTTTGCTGCCCGGGCACGGAACTCATAGAAGTGGCCTTCACGAAGGTTACTGACCTTGAAGAGCAGAAATACAGTCTGAAAGCTGAGCCTGGGAAGGAAGGGGATGAGGTACAGCAGCAGGGGGAGAGGTTCAAGGAAGGAAGTCCATGGGAGCTTTAAACAAGGTTGGTCAAGTGGGTCTGCACTTGAAAGTTAGCTGGATTATTGAGGCCAGGGAACTTGAAGACTCTCTCTCAGCCTCAGAACCTCCGGTCTCCAGCAACACAAGTCAGGACACCAGGCTGGTGACCACATTGCAGCCTTACCTTGCAGACCTGGGTGGGGATGGGCTGCTGGTTGACTGGGTGCCAGTCCAGCTCCTCCGAGTCGTGCTGGTCCAGGAAGTACCCCAGGATCTTGCCACCTCCACGGCATTTGGGGGGTTTCCACCCAATGACCATATCATTTTTCCCACAGTTTAGGAGGATAAAATCATAGGGAGCAGATGGTATAGCTGTGGGGAGGCAAGGAGGTGAAGCCAGGGGCAGTGGGGCCTGAGGGAGCCAACAAGACTCCTCCAGTGAGCATCCACCCTGCTCTGGGGGTACTAACTTAGCCAGCGGTGCCTGCTGGTAACCTTGACTCTGCCTCCCTCCCCCAGGGCACCTAGACTTCGAAGCTGGTCAGGCTTCACAACACAGCCTCAGGCCATTGTTACTTCCTTCCCAGGTTGTTAGGGTCAGCTCCAGCTCCCCTCAGGGGGTTTATCCCCATTGGCCTCTGGGATTGGGCCCTAAAGATGTGGTCTTCGCTCTCTGCCCAGCCCAAGGCTGCCACCTGGAGCTTACAGGCTGGACCTGCCCCTTTGGACTTACCCAGAGCCTGCTTGACCCTGATGGGTTCGGTGGCGGCTGAGCTCTCACCTACCCCGGCCTCGCTGACTGACCTGATGCAAAACTCGTACTCCTTCCCCGTCCTCAGCCCAGGAACTGTAAACCTGGGAGAGAAATGTGCAGCCTTCAGGGATGGCCAAGCAGCTCGCAGACATCCCTGAACTTTCTAGAACAAGAATAAGTGGTTAACCAGTGTGGAAGGATTTGAGGGTTGTGGGCCAGTTCTTAACTAGAGAAATTGCCCCCTCCCCCAAAGTGATGCATACACCCAGAAGGATGAAGTCCTTACGGTTTTAAAGGTTGGAGGAAAGTAGTCAAAAGGTACAAATTTCCAGTTATAAGGTAAGTAAGTACTAGGGATGTAACGTACGGCGTGGGGACTATAGTTAACTCTGCTGTATGGTACATGGGAAAGCTGTTAAGGGAGTAGATCCTAAGAGCTCGCATTACAAGGAGAAATTTTTTTCTTTTCTTATTACTGTATCTATATGAGATAATGGATGTAAACGAAACCTGCTGTGGTAATCATTTCTCAAGATATGTAAATCAAGCCATCATGCTTAAACTTATACAGTGATATATGCCAATTATTTCTCAAAACTGGGAAAAATAAAGATTTTATAGGAGGTGGCTCTTTTAGAGCCCACCATTAAAATGCGAATGTGATGGGAATGGTACCAGTTGGAGGCCCAGATAGCTGAGCCCTGAACTGTGCTACCTGGTACATCTCTAGGACTGTGGGCCTTGACCTTGAAACACAAGTGGCTTTTATTAGCTGCACAAATGCTGTGATTCTAAAACACGGAGCCCTTTTAAAGACCGCCAAAGAGAATTGTTATCCAGAGACATACAAGAACACTCTGGTTTGGAGAAAAATGTCCATTTCATCCTGTCCCTTCTTAATAAAAGCCAAATTGTAGACCTCGCTCTCTCCCTTTTCACTCATCAACATTTTCTTGTAGCAAATCTTGGTCTCTAACCAGCTTCTCTCAGCCAGTTGACCTTGAGGAGCCCTGAGGACATAAATCAAGTGTTGATGGCTGACACAGCATCAAGTTCCCTGCTCAGGGACATGCCCGTCTAACAGGCAACATGCCTTTACGAGAGGGACGAAGCATGGAGGGGGTGATGCTCAGGCAGCACCTGAACAGGTGAGGCTGGGGGTGACTCCCCGGATCAGCCCTTGTTGACAACAGATGGCAACAATGATCACAGGACATGCTGGTCTAGCGCTCCCTTTCCACAGAACCCATGTAAGCTCAGCACTCGTCACAACACCCTCTGAGGAAGGTACTATTACTTAGTGCTATTTTGGAGATGAGGATGAAGTTGAATGTGGGAGGGACCCTTAGGGATCAATCTGTGTAGTTTCTTTATTTTACAGGTAGCAAAATTCTCCCCCAAAAGGAAAGAGGCATGCCAAGAGCACACAGCCAATTGGAAACACGGCCTGGGCCAGAGCCCAGGTCTCCTGAGTCCCAGCACAGCACCTGTCCATTCATTATTCAACCATCCATTCACTCAGACATTGTTTAAAGCATCTCCTACGAGCCAAGTTCTGTGGCACCCAGAGGTATGGAGCTGAAATGCCCACCACTGCCCACCTGAGCTGTCTCAATGCCATCACCCTAGGCAGCACTCTTGGGCAGCAGTGTCCAGCCTCTTTCCAGCCATGACACAGGTAACTAATGACATGCATGTGTGTGAAGAGCTCTCTGGACATACCAGAGAAGCGTGCCACCTGCCATGTGTGACATATTCCCCAGGCATGCTACATTCTTCATGTGACTCTACCTCAAACTCTGCTCCCTCCCTCAGGAAAGTACACTGAATGCACGTGGGGGAGAGATATTATTCTAAGGATAACCTGGACGCTGAGCTAATTTGTCAAAAACCTGGTTCTTCCTCCAACTTGGAAACTTTAGCAGAAGTAAATTATAAGTGACCCCTCACAGCTGACGGTGAGACGCTGAAGACCAGAGGGACACAAGTGCCTGTCCGTTTTTTGGGGTAAGATGATCTTGGGGCCCAGAGTGAGGGGACTTCAGCCAGGTGTGCTCAGGGCCTGGCCTGTCATCTGATAGAAAGGGAGGGGAGGGGTGTTACCACCTGAGCCTCTTGCACCACAGAGCCTCAAACCTGAGAAAAGTCACGAGCCCAGGCTCATGGTGCCCAAGGACCAGGGCCTCAGAGTGAGGAGGGAACTTCAGAGGGGAGCGGGAGGCTGAGAGGGTGAGCTTATGCAGGGTCACCAGGCAAGCGGGTCGTAGACCTGGAGTCTGAATGCCGGCCTCCCTGGTCCTGAAGCCATGCTGCTCTGCACTCTCTGCCTCTCTCTGTCTCTCAGCTCCTGGAGGGACCAGACCTCGTCAGCCACCTCTATCTGCAAACAGCATGCCCTCCGCAAGTATTAGCCCAAAAAGAGGCCACCTGGGTCAAGTCCCAGTTCCTCTGCTTACCAGCTAAGGGAGTTTTGGCAAGTTACATAACCGCTCTATGTCTCAGTTTCTTCACCTGTACAACGATTATAAAAATATTAGTCCTACATTCATAGGTGTGCAGTTAGAACTGAAACCTAATATATTTGAAAAGAGCTTAGAACAGTGCCCAGTGTCCAGTACCATATTGTGACATGGCGGCCTTCATTATTATCATGGCCTCTCCTGGTGCAGGAAGCGGTAGGGCGAACTCACTTATTGTCCTGGATGGGTTTGTTGTTAACGGTTTGCCACTCAGATGATCCTGCCTCCCGGGAGTAGATGTAATAACCCAGGAGCTCTGGGCTTTCTTTCACAGCATCCCAGGTCAGGGAGACAGAGGTCTGTGTGTCTCGGAAAGCTTGAACTTGAGCTGGAGGAGGGAGAGTAGCTAAAAAAAAACAACCAGAAAAATGGGCTGAGTAAAGATGCTGAGTTACACAGCACGAAGGGGTGGAGGTATGGAGAACGGCAGGGAGGAGGCACCACAGCAATGAAGGGTGGACCATGGATTCCAGACACGCCCTGGGGCTTCGGGCAGCTCTTTCCTAGAGGTGTGCCCCAGACTCTTGTATTCTAAAAGTCCTCTCCCCTCTTACCTGCAAACATCTCCACTTCCTCACAAAAGCCTCCATTCATTAATCCTTACAATCTCTCTCTCACTTAGAATTCACCAAATCTTTAGTTTCCCTCCGTTTTTATCTTCAATCGCTAGAAAGCTTGATTTTCTTTCCTTGAAACATCTCTATTGACTTTCAGGCTCCCTGAGACTAAGCTCCTTGAGGTAGGGGCTGCCATGATTTGTTAAATGTACGGATGGATGGATGGATGGATGGATGGAATGATGAATGGATGGGTGAATGAATGGCAGGTGCAGGAACTTCCTTTTCCTTCCACATCTTTTGGTGGCTACCCATCTATTTTGTCCCCAAATATGGGACTCCTCCAAGCTTCTGGCCCTTGACTTGCTGAATTTTTCTCCTCTCCTCCCCTCCCCTCCCCTCCCCTCCCTTCCCCTCTCCTCTCCCCTCTCCTCTCCTCTCCTCTCCTCTTTCCTCTCCTCTCGAGGGTCCGTTGATTCCCATGCCTTCAACCATCATGTCTCCGCAGGTGACTTCTCATTCTTTACCTCCAGTTCTGCCCTCTCTCCTGAATTCTAGAGCTCATCTTCCATTTCCCCCAGACACCTTTCCTTGTGTTCTGGTGGTGCCTCGAAGTCAACAGGAAAAGGCTGACCTCAGCATGCATCCAACATAAGCCCAATATTTATCAAGTGCCTACTCTGAGCCAGGCTCTGCACTCGGCCCAGGGGATGCACTGAAAAATAGATTTGAGGTGCTGGCTCAGGAAGGTCCTGTCAGCAACTTCAGCCTCTCAGGTTGAAGACAGTGTGGCAGTGGATGAAGGCCGGGTAGAGGGGAGAGGCTGGACGGAGGCCACTCAGGGCCCCCACGTGCCCAAGAGATCTGATTCTACCCAAGGTCAAGAACTTGAGCTGAGGATATCCATGGAGTAGTTCTCAGGCATTAAAATCATGACTTCAAGGAGGGTTTCATGATCTGAGGAAATGTTTGTGATATAATGCAACTTTTTAAAGTAAAATGCAAAGCTCTATATATGGTTTGATCAAACTTTTAAAAAGATACATTGATGTGCGTGTGGTCAAAAGGCTAGAAACCCAGGCACCCAGATCGCTCACAGTGGTTACCCCTGGGCAGTGGATTCATGGGGGGCAGGAGCATTCTATTCTCTCTCTCTCTTTCAATTCCTTCCTTCCTTCCTTCCTTCCTTCCTTCCTTCCTTCCT